ATTTTTGTTAAAACTTGAGATTGAAAGTTAAAGGACTTTAAATGGATAGACATTGTCTATTATTATATTGATCACTTTTCCTTTTGTAGAGATGGAAAAATGATTGGAATCACAGAACCTCGTCGTGTTGCAGCAATATCTATGTCAAGAAGAGTTGGTTTTGAGATGGGGTTATCTTCAGAAAATGTTTCTTACCTCATACGTTATGAAGGAAATGTGACAGAAAAAACACAAATTAAATTTATGACAGATGGTGTTCTTTTAAAGGAAATACAAAGTGTAAGTAATATTGGATGCTCTGTAATGTTAGTGTGGTAATTATCACATTTTTTAACTTCTCAAATTCCATTTTGTTTTGTTGCAAATTTTTTCCTAATGAGAGAGAACTTCAAAATTTATGGTGTATTATGACCCATTGTTTGATAAACTATTATTGTATTGTACTATAACAATTGTATAATTTGTGATAATGTGTTTGTTTATATACTGAAAATGGCAATGAACTGTGATAATGAGGAAATATTTTTGAATTTCGGTGTAGTGTGTCCTCATGTATTAAAAAGAAATTGTAATTTGTAAACTACATGGATACAAACTGCTGTTGCTACTGTTCTTTCTGCTCTTATAAATTGGTAATTGTGAATTCATAGATTTGAGTAGCTTTTGTAAGTTTCATCATTTTTCTAAATGAAATCAGTTTCATTATTATAAATATTAATTAGTATATTGTGGTCAGAACTTTTTGATGAAATTACTCAATTATTTCATTTTATTTATAAAAATCTATTTCAACATGTATTTAACTTTTAAACTTTCACATATCAATTGGTTGAATTTAAAAGAATTAAACAATACGCTATTATTTCTTTGAATAGATTTTTAAGTTTATAAAGTATACTTCCTTTAGGACTTCATTCTTTCACGATATGCAGTTATCATACTTGATGAGGCTCATGAACGCAGTGTATATACAGATATATTACTTGGATTGCTGTCTCGAATCGTTCCATTGCGCAGAAGACGAGGAAATCGTTTGAAACTCATAGTAATGTCTGCCACCCTACGTTTGGAAGATTTTGTACAAAATGAGAAACTGTTTCGAATTCCACCACCAGTAATAAATGTAAGTAAAATTATTATTGTTATGATTGTCTGAACACATGTGGTCCTTGCATATTTTTGTAACCTTAAAACAAGTAGATCTTTTCACTATATTGATTATAGTTATTACCAAATAATTATTTTAAGCAAAAATTATCTCCATAAAAAATATAGACAGGAACTATTTGATTTTTAATAAATAATAATATGGAATGAGATATAGGTACTTCATTAATAATTTATTTTATTTGTTACTTACATTTTTCATCATTTTAATTGTAAATTTTTATAGAGACAAAACATTTTTTAAATATTAATATTATTAATTATGTATAATATTATTAGGGCTGCGAAATCTTGATTATTTAAAGAAAAGCAAAAACGTCTGTTTTTCATTTGTTTTTTGTTTAAATAAGATTGTTTAATTTAAATATGATTTTTTAAAATTGTATTAGATGTTTTTATTTTAAACCAAATATCATTAAATGATTTATTTATTGTTAATTTCTTTAAAAGCAGAAAAGAGTTTATTGAAACATCAGTTTTTAAATTTATCTTCAAACTGTTTTAATTGCATTTGAAAAATAAAGATACTACATATTTGCACGGTCCAGTGCAATACTAACCTAGCCCACAAAATCTTTTGTGGGTAGATTTAATTTACTTACAATTTCGTGCTCCTGAAACACTTCTCTTTGGTCTACATTACCAGATAAGATTGTGGGACCATCTATTAAGACGATTTAGAAAAAAGGCATTCTTCATTCTAAGAAGTTTTATAATTATTTGTGCAGTTCCGCCCTAATCAAAAAGCACTTATTGTTGAAAACAACTTAAATCACCAAATAACTTTTAACAATATCAGACAGTTTTTGAAATATTAAATTCTACTTAATTGTTGCCCTGTTATAAAAAAATGAGGTATAATTGTCATTACTTGTTCACTTTCCCATTAACACTTTAATAGTCAGCGGAAAGTACGCTTTCCACTTAAAAAGGAATATTATTGATGTACATGTAATGAAAAAGTTATTATTAAAACTAATATGAATAACTAGTTTTATCAATATTAATTTTGTTCTTTAAATAAGTATTAATGGAATTCCATTTCTATTAAAACTCATCATCTTTAAGAAGTATTTTAAGTGGCTTTAGCAAACATTTTAAAACAAATCTAGAATTATGGACACGTTTGAACGTTTTTTTAACGTGTTTTTCTCAAAACTATTATAGCTTGGTGTGTTGGGGTGGTATTGCTTCTAAATTAGTTTTTACCTTCAGACAATTAAATGCTGTATAAAAACTAATTGACCATCTTAAAACTAATGTTTATAAATTGTTTATTGTCCTTCAATTCATTAGTTCTTCATTTTATTATATTTTATTTTCTCGAAATCATTCAATTATGTGTAATATAAATTATAAGAAATATAATATTTTCTTTACATCAACTTTGTAATTGATTTAAATCCTTTTATTTGAATATTGTATGTTGTAGGTGGAATCACGACAATTTCCTGTTACTGTACATTTTAATAAGTACACTCGTGAAGATTATTTGAAAGAAGCTTACCTCAAAGCTTGTAAAATTCATACTCGACTGCCTCCAGGAGGCATATTAATTTTTGTCACAGGTACTTTCTCATTTTGCATTCTCTTGCATGTGAAATACATTTGTAAATCTAATTGTTTGAATATCATCTATCAGGGTGAAAGTTTCAAGATTGCACTGAGAATTTAAATGTTTTGAAGGTTTTTACTATGAACTGTTACTGTGAACTGTATGCATATTAGTTTGTAGTACAATCTTGAGCAGACTTTTTCCACAAAGGAACATAAACGTTGTTGCAAGATTTTCAATTTTTGTAAGTAATCACTAATTTAATTTTCTTCAATAAGAATTTTTGTATGATCATTTTTAAATTTGTAACAACAGGATGTTCATTTGTACCCAAGAAATTCATTTATTTTAACTTTTGAAAAGTATTTCAATCACCTCAACAATAATATCTTGAATATGTTTCCCATTTCAGGAGAGTTTCTATTCTATATTATGTATAGCGAATATGTAGAACTTTTCTAAAGCCACATCCCACACATATCTAAATTTTGGCATGCATCTTGGTGCCCGAAACCTCTAAAATAAATCTCCTTATTAAAATTTTGAAACCTTTTGTCAACCATATTGATTATTTTGAGATGGATATTTTCTGCATACATTTATTGAGCTGTAGATCTTTAAATGACATTATGCCCGATTTTTTTTTAACATCTGAGTAATTACACTAAGGGAAAGAAAAGTTTTAGTATGCTGCACATGCCCACTAGTCTTAGGAAGAGATACAGCTGAGTTGTTTGAAAAGCCACAGTTTTGTTGCCATGTGCTTTGGCTGGCATTCTGTGCTGTGTTAAGGAAAGGATGCATTTCAGGTGTACACCTGCTTTCTTTGATGGGTTTGGTTTTGTAATTGTTTGCTGCTTGTTGTGGGTCATCACAACTCTAAAAACTAGCTGTGAAGGAAAATGACGAAGTTAATGTAACATTTGGCATCCCTGTTGCCATAAGATACCATACTACAAAACTAAATCTCGAACATTCAATATTTGAATTGGTTATTTTTAAAACTCTGTAAGTCACTCTCCTTTGCATTTTCGCTTCTTGGGAGAAAATAGAAGCTGCAGCATATGTTCATTGTTCCATGTGTAAATCTCGTACATCAGATGAATAGAATGGCCGTAAGGAGACTGCAAAGTTTGTTTAGTTTTGAAACTCAGTGAGTCCTTGACTTGCGGGGTATGTATGTATACAGTGTGTATGGCTAAGGTATCATTGACAGAGAGATTGGTTAGAAGGGATGTCCAATCCAGAAATTTTCCTTTGCACTATCATAAAAACATATTTCAAGTAACCATTTTTATCATACGAATTGTTTGATGTA